TCCCAAAATACTACGGACTTTCAAAACTTCATGATCTGTATAAAAGTTAAGTACATTTCAAACAAGTAAAAACCTCCAACCAAGTGATTTTAAAAGGTTTTAGATTTTTTTATCTCTGATGGCCTCATCAATATACCTTATATTGATGGATAATCTAGATTTTTACAGCTGTGATATTAAATACCTGAATGAAACTTTATAAGTTAGATCTCAAATCAAAAGGAATGCCATTTATATCAATCAAGAATTATTTTATTGAAAACATCCTTCAGTATTTACTTTGCCTTATAAGGTTGGTTTGGTTTTTTTCAATTCACAAAAGCAGCACAAAAGAACATACTATCCATTCCCTTTAACAACTGACAAATCTTACTAGTATTCATGCAGTAACTTCTTAAAGCGTTTAGTAACTTCAAGAAGAACAATTAAAAGTGGAAAAAAATGTGTGTTCCTGAAATAAAGTCCTTCTTTAGATCATTGCTTTGGAGTATAATTGTTTTTACATCTGCTATACCGGGAGAATACCCTAAGCAGTAACATAACTTTGCAGACTTTGAGATATCTTTGTGATTACATTTAAACTTAATGTTTAAACTGATTTCAAGTATAAAGCTAGGCACAACCATGGGAAACAGCATGCTGCCAGGACACAGTCTTCCTCACTTACAAGGTATCAAATGGTATGTACTCAAGTTAAATTCTACCTTCAACGACAACTTCATTTTCACCAAAGGATGTGCAGTTAAGTACACAAACTGGTGCTGCCCAGCTGAAGATTTCATTGCTCTAAGAGAGTACAGAATACTTTTCCCACTGACCTTAAAAGTTGTGGTGTTATGACCAAAGTGTGACCAAAAATTTGATGTTTATGCCAATACTGGGTTTTCAGCTGTGCTAAATTGACCTGCACACAAAGAACACTTATTCCTTCTGCAGCAGCAGCTGAGGATTTGAACAGTCTCTTCACCTTGAGCTACTCCCAATCTAGAGGTTAAAAAACAAAGAAATAATTCAAGAAGATATTCTGTCAATATGCTGATGCAGTTGCATGTGAAGTTCTGGTAGCACTCAAAAAAAGTTATGTTCTAGCACTTATATATATGTAGCACTCCATTATAATTTATGAACAAAATTCAGAATGTCATTTTATCCCAAATTGCTTGGAATTAGATTAGGTTGCAGTTGTCATCCTAACAACCACCCTCCAACTTTTTTTGCCTTAACTGAAATACACATATGATGAAAAAGTGTATTTCCAGAAACAGAAGACTAACTAGAAAAATCCGCATGTTCACAATTGTTTTTCTAAGCCTTATGGGAGTCCCATGCTATTTTTTTTTGGCCCCAATTCATCCACACTTCATTACACCTCAGAATATTGTGTCTGAAGAAAAAATTAATCACTTACGTGGAATTATACATGTGTGATGTTGAATGGCTATGTACAAAACCATGCAGCTTAATATGCTCATGATATAAATGCAGGAAAGGCATTATTAGAATATGCTTAGTGCATGAAATACAGAAATTAAAACAGAAAATTAAATCAGTTCTTACAGTTATTAGAGCTCAAACTCCATTACAGCTGCTGCTCAAACGACATTACATATGCCTCCCCACCAACAGAATTCAAACAGAAATTGTAACCAAAATAAATATCAATGTGCAATATGTTGAACAGGGAACACTATTTCCTTTAGAGTAATAAAAAGTGTGCTTCAGAAATAGAAAGTTACATTACACAAAATCAGGACTACTCTTTGGTCCAAGTTGAACGTTCAAACCTGGTTAAATTATTGGTTTCTTTAAAAAACTGTCAAACTTCAAATTATGGTGCTAGTCATGGTACATAGATTAGTTTCATAAACTCAGAACAATGCATGAAATTAAAGACAATCATTATTTTGAAGACTTTTTCCTGCAAGATAGCTGGGGTTTGAGTCAAAACAAAAATTTTTTTATCATACTGATAAATTGGAAGTGTGTAGAATGTATAAATCTTTAACAGCAGCAGCTTCTAACAACGCAGCAGAAGCTTCTTCACCTGAAATCATATTCACTATTCCCCCCTCCTCCAAAGATTGAATTGTGTTGAAGTACTATTTGTTTTTTTACTAGAAATTAATCACTAACAATGCACAGAATGTGACTAGTGATACAAAGGAGAGAGGCAGAGCTCTTTGAAGATAGTGCTAAAAGATCTTGTGTGCACATCTGCACAACACTGTATTGTCCAAAGGGAACCAGCGCCATTCTCAAACAAAATATCTTTGTAGCCTAACAGCAAGGGGGGGGGGAAGGGGGAGGGGAAGTATCTGAACTAATTTTCTTTTTCTTGGACAGGTTATTTGAATTGAATTAACAATTTGAATTGTTAGTGTGTGTAAGGTATAGAACACACCCAAAAACATCACTCATACATATATATACACACATATATATGCACACACTGCACTTTCACTAGAGCACCTGATGTTTAACAATGCTGTTCCTACAGATGTGGAATGAAACTTCAAAGTTTCACAGACATAAGGCCACTTACACTTCCTTTCACTGCGGGAGTTATTACAGAGTAAGTTCATGCTATGACCAAAGAATACTTCACAGACAAACTATTTGTCCTCATATATCCCTCAGGAGAAATAGTTAAAAACAATTTTATATCAAATACATAACTTTGTCTCTGTTAAGCCACTTAGGCATTATATTACCTGCCTATTCATTGTTGCCAGGCAATAATGCCATATAAAGCAGAGACAACTAAGCACCCAACAATGTTTTAAAAGTGATTACAATGATCTACGCAGTACAAATTAATTGGAGAAAGGTAACTTCACATCTACAAAGATGCCTCCTTGGGCAAAGGAGGAAAGTTACAATGGCAACAATTTCACTGGCATTATGATTGAAATGAAGAATGAAGTTCATCTATAGAAGTTTTGTATGTGCATTTCATAAGTTAGCAGTAGTATCTTATAGTTTAACTTAATGAAAGACAGTGAGCCATTGCTCAGTGGTAGCATAATAGCCTCATACAACAAATAAGAATTGAGATGCTCAAGGAAATGCGGAAACGGGGAAGAAGTTTCAGTGTGAGGTAAAGTCATGAGACAATCCAAATTACTGAATATAGTCCTTCATGAAATGGTTGGGTTTGATCCAGATAAGCATTTCCAAGTTGTCAGACAGAAATGTTTTAATGTGTGTTGAGACATTATATCAAATAACCAAATTAATTGAAAATAGAAAAAATAGAACAGGAATGAAGATATGTTTTGATTTTTGTTTGGTTTTGTAGGGTTTTTTTTTTAAATCCTCTTCCCTAAAAATATATGTAGCAAGGCACATTAGGAGAAATATCTTCAATTATTTTATTATTCAATTTGACTTAAATACCTGAAACCAGTTTTCTCATAATTTAAGGACAAGAGGGAGAAGTTTAAATTGCCTTTTACAGGTGTAATAACTTCATCATCTACTAAAGTGCAACGACTGTTATCCCAAATAGTATCAGCAGAAAGTAAAAAACCACAAGACAAAAACCCCAAACTATGAAAAATAAATGTTTTTGAAGACATTCAAAATAATGAGATTATATGTGCTCAGCCACATTTTAAAGCAATTCAAAGCCAAAATATAACACTGAAAAGGTTTATAAAACTCTGTTTTACCTTGTTCCCTGCAAAGCCTGTAACTTTGTACATTTTCCAAACAAGACTTAAATACTTTTAAAGTAAAAAAAAAAAATTAAGCATCCTTAGCACTTTTAAAAAACCCACACAGTTTGTGGAGTAAAATGAAGGCAGACAGGTTAATTTGTTACAACATTTTGAAGCACAATCCAGCAATACAGCTGGATTGTAAGTTATATTTTAACCATATTCTTTTATCTGTGCCGTAGGTGCCAGTAGTGTCAATGGTCCTGAAAGTCTTTTTGACATCTTAACAGCAAAACCTTTGAGCAATTTATTCTTCCTGTCAGCATTAAAAGCTGACTGCTGAAAAGCATTCAGTTGAGGAAAGATGTAAAAGACTCCTTATTCCTCACACAGAACTTTGTGCCCTTTAATTAGTAATTAGACTTAAAATTTCTATTCACTCCAAAACATCCACATTTAAGACATTTTACATGCACAACATTACTGTCCCTTTTAAACTAGAAAAGCACAAGCTCTACTGAAAGCTAAGTATTTGAAAATTCCAGGTATCTTAATCTTTCCAAAGACACAAAGTGGTCAGAAACAAGGTAGTAAATACATCAGTGCTGCCCCACTTCCAAACTTTTGCAGTATAGTAACTCTTTTATTAAACTTAACATTTTTGTTCAGTATGATGTGTTTTTATCCCTTTCCACTTTCCTCATAGGTGTATTCTCTTAAAGTCTGTTATATTCGTGTGTTCTTTAAAGAATACATGTAGGGTTAAGAGTCCTATCAGTGCTTAAATAAATACTGGGAGCTTATTTGCAACATGTAGCCTTTCTGAGGTTTTCAGAAAGGCTGATAACCATCTGTATGTTTAAGACAAAATAATTTCAAGGAAAGCATCAATTTAAGATTTGCTTGTGCATACACAACAGATTGTACTTAGTAACCTTCATACAGTCTCCTTAAACTACTGACTTCTGACAAGCTAAACCCACAAAGAAATGATGTGCTGAGCTTCAGAGAACTGCCATGAACCATTCTACACATGGTGCTAATTACATCAGGGTCGCTAAAGCTGTAGTTCTTAAACCCCATCAATATTCATCTATACTTCAAAACAGATTTAACAGCTGTTTTTAAAGCTTAATGAGAATATTCAGCATTCCAAGAGATTCTGCTAATACAAAAGTCAGTCATCTTGCTACTTTACCTGAATTCAAGGAGAACATATGCTCACAGCACTCTTCTACAATTGCAATTTCAAACCTTGGCTTACCAAACAGTTAAGAATTAAACTCCAAGTTTGGCATGTACAGCAATTTTCAGGAGCATCCCTTTGTTTTATTACAACACTTAACAACAAGGACCCCATCACCAAGCATTAACCTGACCAGCAGCTATTCAAGGAGCTTTATTTCAGCTTCACACAGGCGGATTGCCCCTTGACTCTGACCAAGGCGCATAAGGCGCAGTGCAGGAGTACAGCAGTTCAGACACTAGAGGACAGTCTGTGCATTTGACTGAACCTCTGGATTTATAGTGCATGTTCCATATCACTTCCTTTCTCTTGCACTAAAATTCAAGTTTGTAAGGTGATGAATCCACTTGCAGGAAGCTTCTCTTCAGATTAAAGATTTCTTTAAACTAGTTGATTCCCCTCCCCCCCCTTTTTTACGTAAGTCTCAAAGCGTTGCAAGAATTCTTGAAAATGAAATAATTAACGTCAGTACTGTCTGTCCAACACCAAAGACAAGAGCTTCTAAGGGAGCCATATTCTTTCCTGCTACTCTGTAAATTCCAGCTACTGCAGCACCTAAGAATCACAAGAAAAACAATGATCAAATCGCAGAAAAAGCCAAGTCTGAAATGTATGACAAATAATTTACTGTGTCTATGCATCAGCTATTTATAGAACATTACCAAACACTTCATGGCATTATAGAATTACTAGCCTTGCTTGTATTTTTCTAGTTACGCAAGCCCTTTAGGAATGATTTTCCCAACTGAAGCTGATTAACTTTTCCATTATCAGTTTGATTTAAGAAAATGAATCTTGCTGTCTCCCTGTAGACATCTTCAAATTTTTTTTTTACATTTTTACATTTTTGCCCTCTGCTAATTTGAAAAGGTAACAAAAAAACAATCTAAAAATTGACCGAGTCTGGAGTGTGGTTTAATAGTGCTTGTATAGGCAGGGAGAAGACAACAACAGTTTACAAAACAACTGTAAACACTTGCACATCTATCAGCTTCATTTAATATTTCAGTTGAATAACCTGGCTATAATGTTTAAGTTTAGTTTTGACTTAAACTACTAAATTGTTAACATTTGTTTAGCAAATCAAGCAAAACATGAAAAAGATCAAAATATTGCATTGTTATCCATTAATGTGTACGGGAGGAAATTTCTAACCAATATGATTAGATCTTGAGCACATTAAAGCACATTAAAAATTAAAAGACCATTTTTCTTGTACTGTTCTGTGCAAATTCCCATTTAAAGTATAACACCAAAAGGCCAGGATAAACCAGAAACAAAACACCACACTGTAAAAAAAAGCCAGGTGATAACTCCGTTCTTCTGTCTTTCACATACTGAATTTATCACGTGTTTGAAGAACAAAAGTGACAGAGCAAATGTATAGCTTGGAGCAAATGCTTAAGAAAAAGGTAAGTTTTTGTATCAATCAGTCAAAAAAAGTAACATGCTAATAATGAATAACATTTTCTGCTCAAGCAACTTCTAAGCCTTTTAAGGCTACTAAAATGTTCATTTAAAAAAGAAATACAGGCTTATACAGCTGTGTCCATAGGTAAAAAATTTACTCAATCCAAATCTCAAAAATTCACCTAGAATTAAGCTTTTATTTAATACTTTCTGAACTAGTATTTTCTATACAGTGCTTTCTTTCCTTGCCTAAAGAACAAACATTTTCCTTAATTTCAAAATGAATGAAGACCAAACCCCAAAATTTAACTATAGACCTTCAGTATGTATGGTCTCAGACGGTATCTAATCATATTACTTTCAGAGATCACAGAGTCTTTTTCAGGCTCAAAGAAAACTGAAAAGCCACCACTAATTTTTTAAATAATAGGCAAGAGTTTTAAAAAATTTGAAATTTTCTTGGTTTTGCAGTCACTAACAGGAATAATCTGCTGAAGTCATCAAAAACCCATTAGTGACACAGAAATACATTAAGTCCCAACAGATTTTCTGAAAATACAAGCTGTATCTGAATCATCTGACATCTTAAAAAAGTAACACCTCATTTTTACAAAAATTTTAGGAAGAGTAGAATTCACTAATAATTGTGACCATAGCAGTATTTACAAACACTATTAATCAGACTATTAGGTGAGGGAGGTGTGTGTAGGCATGTTTATTGTTATTTTTTTTAAAAACATTCTGTAAATTTTGTCAGAAATATCTCACCAGAAGGCTAGCCTTATGGTATTTCACTCCGCTACCTCACATAAGCTTTTCCATTTGTTCCTTGACTATCTGCTGTCAAAATATGAGAGAGATCCTTTAGACTGAGCCCAGTACTGACACTATTTTGGTGATTGAACTCTCAGAGTTAATTCAAATCAACCAAATTGGGATACCACCATTTGATGCAATTAGTTAATCAATAACAGAAAATTTTGGCTTCTTGAGAAAACACTGAGATATTCTGGAAAATATCAATAATAAAAACATAAAAATTTGGTAGTTTGATAATCATATGTTTATACTCAAATAACAGTGTGCAATACAACCTGTAATGCACAACCCAGCACAATCGGCATAGAGCCAAAGTATAATACAATAGGCTGCTAATGAAGGAAATGAGAATATGTCACCAAAAAGGAGTGTTCTTGGGGGAAAAGGAGGAAGTATAGACCTTTCTGGATTAAATCCTTGCCTCAAACTGCCTGACATTTACTCGTTCTTGGTTTTGGGGTTTGGTTTTATTTTGGCAGTATCCATTGCTATTTAGTAAATTTTTTATATTTTTAATAACCATTAAGTTCCATGATTTTTCAAAGCCTAGAAACTGAGGGGTTTTGTGCTTTTCTATACACTGGTAAAAAGACTCTAAAGGCCAGAAAGTTTGAACTATCTACCTGGGTAAAATTAAACTTGTATTTTTTAATAACCTATACTGCATTAATTCACCTACACAAATGATGTAGAGGACTGGAAGTACAAGTTGGAAATTAAAAGTCAGTTTGCTATTTCAATTTCTTAAGCACTGGACCAGGCATATCCAAATGACTACATATTTCAACTTGCACCCCAGCTGGCAGGAAAATAGCTATTAAAATCTCACATAGTATTCTGTCACTGTAATTTGTCTTCAGAAACTTCCCACAGAATTTCTTTCAATATGAAACAACCCAGTGCTATGCAGAAACAAAAACACCTGAAAGTTAAAGGATTTGGCTGTATTGGGTTTGCTTGGCAAGGTTTTGGTAGCCGGGGGCTACAGGTGTAGCTTCTGTGAGAAGCTGCTAGAAGCTTCCCCTATGGCAAATAAAGCCAATGCCAGCTGTCTGCAAGATGGACCCACCACTGGTCAAGGCCAAGCTCATCAGCAACAGCGGTAGTGCCTTTGGGATAACAGATTTAAGAAGGGGAAAAAAAACAACTGCCCAACTGCAGCCAGAGAGAAGAGTGAGAATATGAGAGCAACAACTCTGCAGACACAAAGGCCAGAGCACAAGGAGGTGCTCCAGGTGCCAGAGCAGATTCCCCTGTGGCCCGTGGTGAAGACCATGGTGAAGCAGGCTGTCCCCCTGCAGCCCATGGAGCTCCACACTTCACCAGATCTCCACCTGCAGCCTGGTGAGGACCCCATGCAACACTGGAGCAGGCTCCTGGCAGGACCTGTGGTAAGAGAAACCCAGGCTGGAGCAGGTTTGCTGGCAGGACTTGTGACCCTGTGGGGGACTCACGCTGGAGCAGCCTGTTCCTGAAGGACGGCACCCCATGGAAGGGACCCAGGCTGGAGCAGTTCATGAAGAACTGCAGCCTGTGGGAAGGACTCACACTGGAGAAGTTCGTGGAGGACTGTCTCCTGTGGGAGGGACACCATGCTGGAACAGGGGAAGAGTGTAAGGAGTTCCACACACCCCACACCCCCCCGCCCCCACCCCGAGGAGGAAGGAGCAGCAGAGACAACATGTGATGAACTGACCACAACCCCCATGCCTCGACCCCCTGTGGGGGAGGAGGTAGAGAAAATCAGGAGTCAACTTGAGCCCAGGAAGAAGGGAAAGGGATGGTGGAGGGAAGGTGTTTTAAGATTTGGTTTTATTTCTCATTATCCTACTCTGATTTGATTGGTAATAAATTAAACTAATTCATTTCCCCAAGTAGAGTCTGTTGCCCATGATAGTGACTGGTGAGTGATCTCTCCCTGCCCTTATCTCAACCCTCATTATATTTTCTCTTCCTTGTCCAGCTGAGATGGGGAGTGACAGAGCAGCTTTGGTGGGCACCTGGCCTCCAGCCAGGGTCAACCCACCACACTGGCTAACCAAGTTGCAATACTCTGTGCAAAACCTGTGGGAACAGCATAACAAGTCCATGGTCTAAGAAATTCTCTGGTGAATTTACACAAACACAGTACTGCTTACTTATTAAATGTTTTGACCTGTGAAATTGGATGCCAAAGATACAACTGTGTTGCTCCTCTTTTTATGCATAGATAAAAGACAAAGTACTTTGAGAAGCACTGAACCTGAACCTTCCCCACCACAGAATACTGTAAAAGTCTCTGCTTGGATATTCCAGCATCACATTTCCTATCTTCTGTTCTTCAGAAATTCAACAGGCAAGAAGGACTTTCAGTAGCAATAAGAAATAATCTGTCACAAATCATCCATGAAAGTGTCCAAAGCTGAAGTGATACCACTATTCTGATAATCTGGGCAGTACACAGAAAAAATGGGAATGAGAAGCAGCAAGGCTTGTCTACAGTTTAAGAGGTCACTGGATTTACAATTCCTCATCCTTAAGGGCCTTTCAAGTTAGACCATCTTGTCAACAACACTGAAGATCTTCAGGCAAAAATTACTGCTCAGGTTAACATAGGCCCCATTCAAACCACTGATTTTGATGTTAAGAACTCCTTACCAGCATTGCTTCAGACAAAACACAAGCTTCTTTCCTGTGAAAATAATATTTGCTATTTCTTTTTCCCCCACCCCCAAAGAGAAAACTCACCATGCTCCTATCTGCTTGGGAAAGCTACTGTAGTCTATTTATAAGTTAGATAAACGTAGCTGGATATGATAAAGCCGAAGACTGAATAAGGTGTCGTACTGATGTTATGGCATATATTTCAGTATTGACACAGGTAACGGAATTTCTTAGGAAACATGGAAAAACAGTATCCGATACCAGTAACTGTAGATGGAAACAGCTAAGCAGCATTTCCTCAAAACATACCTGGCATCATCACTTGTGTGCCATATCCCATCAGATGTAACACTTCTGCACTTTACTACATAAAATACTCCTGCTTTCTGCAATGTTTTAGTCATAAGTATAGCTTTTAGCTATAGCTCTGTGAACTCCCCAGCATGCTGCTTTAACAGAAAAATGGTTAGCATCTGATCTGTGGATACAATGTCAAGAAATAAAAAAAGTCTAAAACATATCTTGAGTGGTAGGCATTACACTAACACCATAAGAAACTCCATAACAGGTGTCCTTGCCAAAGAGCATTTTGCCTAGAACAACAGAACAGCGTGGGGTTGTTTTGTTGTTTTTTTTTAAAAAACAGTCTAATGGCCTTCCTCACCCTTTCCTCCCTACCCCAAAAATAAGCTAGAAAATAACATTATGGCCAAGCCAAGAGTGGTAAATTCTTTCAAATCCATGAGCCGAGTGTAATTTCTCCAGTCAAACAAATCTTCTTAGCTGTAAATCACTACCTACATTACATCTTTACTTCTTTTGAAAGTGCAACATCCTGCCCAGGTACAATTTAAAAACCTCCAGCAGGCCCAAGGAAATGAGCAGGAATTCAGCCTTGCAACTAATGGACCTCATTTCCAAGATAAACTTGTGGCTTTAAGGGTACTAAGAGGTGATCTTTATCAGAAACATTTGACAAAAAATATGCAACAAGTATGGTAGGGCAGGACTGCTCTTATTGATCCCCAAAAGATATTACCTGCTGAGCATACATCTTTTGAATAGCTTGGTACCCCACATTTCCAAAATTAGAGAGTAGGATGATTTCTGCACTCCTCTAACAATTTATAGTAGTTTTATCCTTGCACAATAGAAGAGCAACTCAGCTGCCATTATCATTAGGATAGCTATATAACTAAAGCAAAATCCTTAATAAACAATTAACAAATCACTAAGAAAAAGTTGGAGGGTTTTGTCTTTTTAGAAGTTAGATGTAAAATAAGGAAGAAAAAAACAAAAGAGGATAGACTTACTGGTTATCATTGCTCCAGTTATAGAACCCAGAAATCCAATGCTGACCACAATGACAGAGATCAGCCTCCCCTGCCTATGCCTCTGCAGCATCACAAACATTAATACTCCCACAGCACCATGGACAAAGAGAGAGGAGAAGAGAGCCCAGAGGAAAACCCAGTACCACATCTCTGAAAGAAAGCAGTCAAATAAAGGGTTAATATTTCTGAGACAATAACTTTATAAGTAAGAAGCTTTAAAACATTGCATACAACCAACAGTAAGAGAAAAGCAATATGGATTTCCATCTTAAAAGGAATCAATATGACAACACCAGCATATGCTCAAGACACTTCCCCCTTTTAGCAGTCCATTGTGAAGGAATAACTCTATGATCAAAAATTATAAAAAGGATTCTGGCACAATTCCTCATTCAGATTCAGATGTATTATTACAAGAAGTCCATTTTTTTTTTTAATGGTTTCTTTAAACAGCATTAATTGCAATTTCTTATTAAGGTAAATACTGCTGTAGAATGGACTACTATCTGAAACAAAGACTGAACCAGGAAAAAGCCAAGAATTGTGGGGTTTCGTTTTTTGGTGGTGTGGGATTTTTTTGTGGTTGTTTTTTGGTGATTCGGGTGCGTGTGTGGTTTTGTTGTGGGGTTTTTTTGTTTTTTTTTTAAATACACAAGAGACAGCATCAAATGGGAAAACTGAGATTAAAGACTTCAGTTTATCTACCCAAGAGCTGTAATAGAGTTCTACCAAATTAGCTTCAAAGGCAAAAAAAACCCACTATAATTTTAACATGTCTTACTCCTTGCTTTTAATTGCTTAGCACAGAACTTCATAAAGACAGGTAGTCACTACCATTTAAATTACTACACAAGGACAAGAGATCAAGAGAATGTATGGAGTACACACATTTCTCTAAAGAATGCCAGGCATGATCATTACCTTCAAAGAAAAGAGCAGGAACCTCCAACAAAGCTATGTAAGAGTTAAAGAACCTTTCTCATTTGGTGGTAATTTTCTAAAAACATTTACTATAACTCAAAAAGGTGAGGAAATTAAAAAAAAATCCCTTTTATTGCAAGTCAACTATAGTGGGTATGTATCATCACAGAATTCAGCAAATTGGGGCAAATTGTGCTGATTGACATAATCCCATGAAACTGTCATTAATTTAGAGGGTTTTTTTCCTGCTGTTTTCCCTCAAAAAAAACCCCAACAACCAACTTTCTTACAAGAGCAGGATACTTATTGTTTATGAGGTGAGCCTGTGTTATTGCAGCTTGACACACATCATGTGAGCAGAAATATGACCCAATTAGCTAACTTGAAAATACTTAGCAGCTCAGACAAAACATACTGTGAAAGGATGCTGAGAAAGAATGGTTGCTAGACAGTTACCACAGTCCTTTGAGTCCAATGTCAATATTGTATGTAGCACATACAATAGCACTCGTAGCACAAATACAGTTTAAGCTTTTTCATTTAGCAGTACTTTGAGAGTAGATGCAACCCCTCCCCTTTCATACAGGCATAAAAGGCAAAACCATGCCATAGGACTTACAACTCCTCTAAATTACAGTAACCAAAAGGCTCTTTCAGGAGAGCAGCAAGGAAGGTGGGTGGTAAATCTATATTCAGTTAATACTAACAGCTGTAGTTCAAGATGTAACTTCACTGAGTGATTGGATATATGTACATATATATTTAGGGTGGCTCTAAGCAGCTCTCCTCAGATGCTCCATCCTTTCACCCCTGGCCCCAAGTTGGGTCTCAAAAGTCTTTGCAAAAGGGTGGCAACCACAGTACTGTTCTACTAAATGTCTCTTCATTCTCAGAAGCTACCGTGACAGAACAGTGGCAAGAGTGCCAAGTAGTCACTCTACAAATACCTGACAAACACCCTCACTAAGATTAGGAAAGATTGACTAATTGCTGATCTAATCTGCCATGGTCATGGATAGTTTGGTAGGGGAACCTCTCTTGCAGTCCTAACAGGCTGTCCTGGGTTTTGGATGGGATAGAGTTAACTTTTTCCTAGCAGATGGTGTAGTGCTGTATTTTGGATTTAGTATGAGAATAATGATGACAACACACTGATGTTTTAGTTGTTGCTAAGTAGTGATTATAATAAGTCAAGGACTTTTCAGCTTCCCGTGCTCTGCCAGTGAGGAGGTACACAAGGCATTGGGAGAGGGCATTGCCAGGACAGCTGACCCAGACTGGCCAAAGGGATATTCCATACCATATAACGTCATTCTCAGTATATAAACTGGGGGAGTTGGCCAAGGGTGGTGACCACAGCTCAGGAACTGGCTGGGCATCAGTCAGTGGGTAGTGAGCAGTGGTACTGTGCATCAGTGCATCACTTGTTTTGTATATTCTTTTATTATTATTTTCTCTTCCCTTGCCGTCCTATCTTTATCTCAAACTCATGCATTTTACTCCCCACCCTGCTTCTCCTCGCATCCCACTGGGGAGGGGGCAGGAGGTTGCATTGTGCTTAGTAGCTGGCTGGGGTTAAACTATGACACAGGCCTTGTCTGTTACTAGCACAGCTTGGGTGTTCCCATTTGTTTTTTTCTAGTGGAAGTAAATATACAAAGAGACTAACCAAAGGAGCTACCAATAAAGAACCTGGCAGCCCTGATAGACCTACAGTTTTGACAGTAAATAAGCAATAGGAGATGGGAAAAAAAAAAAATTTACTTTCCCGCAAATGTAAACCACATACAACTTTGCGCAGGGAAACCCCATCAGGAAGGAACACTATCATTCTTCTAGCGTACATTAGAGGAGGTACCAGGGAAGACCCTTTCCTTGAAAAATGTCACAAAACCAGATTCCTAACAGATTAAAACACTATTCTATCAAAATGATAAAAACTAAGCTCCTGTCCCATGAGGGATCATTTCCTTGAGCACCAGATAGACTGTTAGGAGATACTTAACAAATGTTAGGGATATGGACTGAGCAGACTGTAGTTCAGCAATGGACTGAACAGGTTCTCAAGTCTAAACTGCTTTGGCAACACTGGCACTGAAAAAAACACAAGGTCTATGTTCTACTTTACCATAGAATTACCATGAAGAACAAAAGTTAGAGAAAAGCACTCTAATAGGGTAATTAAGAATATATCTAGTAGGCAAGAGCAAGCATTTCCTTGCTTGCAGATGTTGATCTCTGAAGACCTTCAATCCTCAAAGGTATTATGTGTGTATGTTATATCTTTCATTTTAGTTCTCCATAGTAATGTGGTTGAGCCCATCTCCCAGATTATTCAGCAAAGCACAAAACTAAACTGCTGGCAGGGGAATGTGATGCTGAACGCACTGTTTCAAAAGATAACTTATTCTTACACAGAAAGAATGTTTTTCCTTGTTTGCTAGTAAATGCTGTAGTAGAGGCGCTACATATTTTCTGGACAAGCACCCTTTCCTGCAATTAAGTCTGCCATACAATTTTTGTACCACTTAAATTAGACTGATACACAAAATACTCAGTAAAAGAGAGGCCTGGACCATCAGGATGGAGTGCTGACAATGTTCTTGACCCAAACTTTAATTGCTCTTGATTAAGATGAATGCAAGAGATGAAACATCAACCACCAAGAAAAAGTGAAGGCCTCTTGCAATATCAGTAAAGATAACCTGACACCCCAGTGACAGATTCTGAGAATACACATTTCAAACCCACAGCTGAAGAAAACACTTGGTTCTTACGTAACGTTACACAACAACTGCAGGCTTCCAAGACTGCCAACACTCTATAACTATGTCAATGGTGTATTCATCAGTATTACCCCATCATCTCTTCCACAGTCTAAAAACAAACTCCTGGAAGGTGTGCTGTTGTGGAAACTGAATTCACGCAGGTATCAACTGATTTCATAAAACTGCATTGGAATGAGATAAACTTGTCCCCATTTAATATGAAGCCAAAGAACAGAAGACTCAGAGTTATTTCAAATGAGAGGGGACCTGCAATTATGGCAGTCTATTCAGCAGCCAGTTATTCTGAACAGCCAATACACAGGTATGCTCTGGGGAGGAAAAGCAAAGCTCTTGATATTGTCTCTCTGCAAATGTGTCTGAGGGACAGTCCCAGGACACTGAAATGTGTTTTCAGTGCCATTCTGAATGAATGCAATCAAAATGAAATGCATTTTCAGCCATTCTCTCCCAAAAATGCCATTGCAGCTGAAAAGCTTGCAACTGGGCCAAGAAAGTCTGTTGGAATCTGATTGTTAGACACTATCATTCCCTGTAATTTCCACAGGAACTGCATCACCTTTTAGGTGATGTGTCTGTGGTCATTGTTGACATTCACCAGGTAGAAAAGGCAACTGATTTCCAGTTTTAGGAAGGCTAATTAGGATGACTGTATATTTAGAAGAAAAGGAAAGATTATGGCAAGGCTAACTACTCCCCTATAACTAAGAAACCCAAAATATTTACAAACCCTTACACAATAAAATAGCTGCATAGCAAGCAACTATCTTAGGTCTTATTTACATTCCAAATAAGGCTCAAGGAAAATTAGCATCACCCCTCACTTTACATTTAGGGCAGGAGACATGAGATTGGAAGGAGCCCCAGATGTCCTGTTGGATAAAGGAATATAAACTTGAGTTTTTTGGTACACACTTTCTTCTCCTCTCTTTAAAAGCAACAGGCATATTGAATATATTCAAAAGGAAATTAGAGAACACCCAGAAATATTTCTTGTTCCACACAAATGCAGCTGTAGCATTTAAAGAAACTGGTTATAAACCATCACTTCACAGAGGCTTAGGTTTCCAAGTCAATAGCACTGTAAAGTCAGTGATACAACAAATACAGGTAGTTACACATACCTGCAATAATCCAGTACCTTCTTATTAGAAATTATTCATAATAGCTTAGAACTTTGCCAAACTGACAGTAGATGCTAAAACTTGTATGTGTTCAGAACAGTTGAAGGGGAGGGAGGTGTAAGGAAGGAACACCTTCATGTCCAGCTGAAGATAAGCGGGAAGAAGGACCAAAGATTTGTTTATTTTGGAAGGAGACAGAAGGAGGAAGGTGTGAACAGAAGGGTTAGGGACATAGGCCTGTGACACTCCAATTTGCATAAGGCAGGCAGCAGGGCGTGGGACACAGCAAGCAGTTGAAGATTGGTTAACTGCCACTGTC